TACGTCATCCAGAGTGGCCCGTCAGAGAAAGAGTGTCCAGTGAGTAGCAAGAAATTGCTTATTTCCAGGGCATAAAGGATTAACCCTCATTGAGATTTTGTGTTCAGATGTTTCTGAGCATCCCCAAGTAGAAGATAACAGCAGAAAGGCAAGCTGGATCTCCTGCTGGCATTTCAGAATAAAATCTGCCAAAATTTGTAGAGCAAACTGAAAAAGTGTGATGCAAAAATGTTGAGGAAGAGAAGAAAGTTAATAACCTTTTGTTCTTAACACAAGCAAGACCCGTATTTTATTTATTACATTGAACCAGGGTTGGTTTTGGACACATCTTTGAACATTGTTTTAGCATCCCAAGATGCTCCTCTGGCTGTGTGAGTAGGGATTATGTTGATGGAGTTGATAAAACTGGAAGAAATCTCAGACAGACTTGCCATGGAGAGAGGAGGAGGAAATAAGGGAAATTAAAAATAAAAATATTGGAGTATCAACTTAAAAATTTGCTTTTTGGCTGATGTTTCTTCTGGGCATGCCTTGTCCCGTTGCTGAGGAAGCATGTTTGTATTGGAAATTAAACTGAAGCAAATTCCACAGGAAATTAGCTGCTGGCTTCACAGGCACTTTTCTGGATCTTTCTTGCTTTTTAAAACATCATCAGATCACTTTTAGTCCTTCACGGTATGTCCAATGCTCTTCTGAATTATCTCAGTGAGATTTTCAAGTTATCCAGATATCCCGAGCTAAAAACAGAGAATTCTAAGGTTTGATTCCTGACAAAATGATGGGCTTGCTTTTTAGTTCACTCCCTTTCTCTGGAGTCCAAGGTGAGTAAAGAAGACGAAAATCTTGGTCAGCTCTATTTACCTGCTTAAGATTGAATCTGTGCTGGCAGGATTAGAAGTGAGCTCATAAGTGGTGGTGTAAATTCTGCTGAGGAATTGCACAGCCTGTGACTGCTTTGGTCACAGAAGTCAGTGGCAAAAATAAGAGATTAACTGTTTCTCAGTGTGGGTCATGTAACTATAATATTTCCATGACTCTGGATATGATTTTCTCTTTGGAAATGATGCAAACATTTAATTTTTCTCACCTACGTAATAGCACTTCCCTTCTGTTAGTAATAATGGATAAAAGCCAGGCTATTTTAATAGCCACTTATTTTTAATATCCCTTTATATAGTCCTCAAATAAAATAAAAACGTAACTCTTTGCACAGCCCTTGGTATATACGTTTTCTTATGAGAGAACATACTTAAAATAAATTTAGTATCTTCAAAGTAGCTGAGGAATAGTTCAAAATTAATGTCAGGGCAATGTCATGGATATAGCTGGGGAAAGTCAGGCTGAGACCGGAGATCTGGCTGTCTATATCTGAATAAATCTCTGTCAGAGAAAGTGGGAAGGAAATATGTAAGAATTGCAGACATCTTGTGTTTAAATGTTTCCACAGAAGTCTAACTACGCTTGAAAGTTAATCTTTAATTCAGAGCATGGGAAATACCAAGGAATCATTTACATGGCCGCAGATCACTAGGGAAATGCAGTAGTTTGAATTCATAAATCACAGGCAAGCAAGGTTAACTGAACGTTTAGTCTCTTTTATCTCATTTTCAAGGGACTGTACATCTGTTACCTATTTTTTAAATGCTGGTGGTGATCAAAATGATGTATGGTGGGAAACATGTAACTCTGGGGTCTAGTAAGAGATTTTCTGTGACTATGCTTGAGTTCCCAAAAATTGAAGGCACTGGAACCCACAGGCAAAAGTTTTGCATATCATGGCATGCATTGCATCACCCAAATCTATTCTGAATATATATATATAATATATTCTGAATATAATGTGTTATATTATAAATATTTCAAGCTTAAAGACGGTAGATTTAGGCTAGATATAAGGAAAAAATCTTCTACAGTGAGGGTGGTGAGACACTGAAATAGGTTTTCCAGTGATGTGATTTGATACCCCAACCCTGGAGACTTTCAAGGCAAGGCTGGATCAGGCCCTGGGCAACCTGATCTAGCTGTGGTGTCCCTGTTCATTGCAGACGAGTTGGACTAGATGGCCTTCCCTTCCAACTCTAAGGGTTTTATCACTTCATGATTCTATAATTCAAACTCACTGACTACCTGCACATCATAGAGTCATCAAGAGAGGGCTGAAAATGGTAACTTCCCCCTAAACTGTAATCATTTTTCCTATTTCTTCCTCTTTGTTTTTTTTTTGTTTGTTTGTTTGTTTTGTTTTGTTTTGTTTTTTGAGTCAAGCAAATGCCTTCCTCTCTGTAGGCTCTAAAATGAGACACCTCATGGGGAAGCCTGGAAAGTTTAATTAGCTGTGTTTTACCAATAATCACTGGTAAAGTAAGATCATCTTTACCAGACATGCTTCTGTAACACAACAACATTTTTATTGTTAGGAAATTTAATAATGCGTTATCTATATTGTAGTTAGCTGAACGGCCTGGGGCAGTCGCCAGGGTGGACAGGGGCCCCTTGGCCCCTGGGAAACCATGGCAACAAATGTCTTGAAGATAAGAGACAAGTACAGGTTAGACCAAATAAGGAGGAAACAAGACATGCCACATGTCCATTGGTCAGAGATAATGGTAGTAGCCCTAAGGCACGGGGAAAGTTTTAAGAAGGGTGTGCTCCTTGCAATTAGGTCCATTTTGCCGCTCACCATATTGGTGTCATGAAAAGTGTGCGAAACTGGCCGGGGCTGTCGGAACACTTTCACAAGGAGACTTCAGTCAGGGTCGCCGAAACAAAGGCGACACTATATGCAGCACATATATAGAATATGCCAGCATTATTTAATATCTTCAAAAGTTACTGGGGAGTGAGATTCCTTATTTTAATTTTCAGAATGTACTTCTGAGGAGCCTGTGCAGTGTGTCAGCTGTGAGAGCCTCTCTCAAATTTTATTGAATTTTATGAAAATATAGAGTTTTTTCTCTGTAATTTGGTCCTTGCTGAGGCAGGAAGGGGAAAATCACTTTCCAATGGGTGTTGAGTCAATTGTGGTTCTGAATAGAAGTCTGAGGTCCAAGAGACCAACTCTAGTCTGATTATGGTAGAAATCTGAATATAACTCTTAGCATATGCATTGTGAATAGCTACAAATAACTTCTAGGCAGCAAGGAAGTTACTGCTCCGAAAACAGATTACTCACCACCATCAGATTACTTGTGTAAATGGCTACCCAGGAGACACAATAAATGATTGAAGTCTATCCACTAGGCTCTTTTATTGCCCAAGGTTACATGAATGGACCCTACTTCCTACAGACCCTTTTCACTATATTTTCAGCAGTTTCTTTAGGATTTCTCTGACCAATTTCCTCTCCTAATAGGAGTTTACACAGTTCTCTGTGAGCCACAGGAAGTAAATTGAGTGGCTTGTGTTGGTTATCTGCACCACTGGTGGCTGTGGGTTCTTTATCCATAGCATGTGCAGAAGGGGAGAAGGAAGGGATGCTCTCTGCCTGCTGCTCAAAGACACCCTACAAGGAAGCATCCTGAGATTGCCCCCACTGATAATGAAACATTGCTCACAGTCTGTAAAATGGGATTTAATTTTTGGCTTGATGAGGCTCCTCTACTGAGCATATAGAGATTTGCAAACACTTCTAGTGTTTGTATTACGAAACTAAAGCAACTAGAGCTTGGCAAAGGGTATGGAGGAGATTTGTAGGATATAGAGGAGATTTATAGGATGGCAAGAAATGATGTCAACAACTCACAGCCAAATGCTGTCCTACTTATTTCTTATGAATGAAAATGCACACAGAGCTTCTGAAATAACATCCTTGGATGTTTCTATCTCCTGGCATATAAAGTGACATTCTACAGAGTTTAAGCACTGCAAAGCAGTGTGGGTCATTTGCTCGGAGAGCTATCATGTCTTCAGAACAAAAGATAAAACAGACAAATAGCCAAGTACAATATTATACCTCAACAACCTAAAAGCCAATCTCAAAGCTGAATGGAACAATGGAGAGCTTTTATTTCTCATATTTTAAAGAATAAAGCTCAGTGATTTCCTTTGAAAGCTATTCAACATGCTCTCCTAAATCCTATTATAGCTTAACATGAAATGCATGTTTCCATAAGAACAACAGCAGCACCAGTCATCCTTTGTAGTCTGTTCTTTGTTGTGTTCTCTATCTATTCTTGTAGATTTTTCCACTCTAGTAAACCAATCACTAAACAAGAAGTGATAACATTTCAGCTAGAGCATGTGTTAAGTTGGTGCTGGAAATTCAGTTTGCTCCTGCTTGCTGCCTGAATCTTGCCAAATTAAATAATTGTTCAAGAGGGTGTTTATAACATAAAGGAATGGTTATGATACTGTCCCAACATTTCCTGAATGTAAAATCTGTATCCAGCTACAGATATTTATCTGTATCTAATAGCAAAGATAGATTTAGTCTCTGCCTGCATGTATAGACAAAATTCTTGCTGTTACCAAGATCGAAATGTACTGCAATGTATTCAGCCTGTGTGTCTTAAATCAGTTGAACACCAGCTCACTTTTTTAGAACCTGCACATCATGCATCATTTTTTTTAGAGCCTGCATGTACAGATCTAAATATAATATTTATTTAAGACATGACCAAGCCGGTGGGTGAGATATTTTATTTGATGAACACTGTTTAACTCAACTGACATTCAGCAGACTGTGAGGCATATTAATTCTTAGAAAGATGTATATTTTAGAAAACCTCAGACAAATTGAGAATAGAAAGAGCAAGATGTAAGATGCTTTTTCTTAATGTCTTGCCTAGAAAAAAAAGGTGACTTTAATTATTTGCACTCTCTGAACCCAAAGGCACTGTGCCTTGCTCATAAATACAAGAATTTCAATTTTAGCACCTTCAGTCCTTTTAACTTCCACCACCATCTATTATGGAACTGAACTGAACAACCTCTTATTTAAAATGAAATCTAATGCAGCTGATGTTTTCAACTGGTTTTCCCTCTCGTTGTCTCTTAATCAGGTAACAGACATTAAAGAAAAACTAAAGCTCTCTAAAAAGTTTTGGTCAACATTCCCTTACACAATCTGCAAGGACGAGCGCGTGACAGCCGGCTCATCAAACGAGGAGGACTGCTGGAACGGCCACACCAAGGCAAGGTGAGGTGGAGCCTTTCCCACTGGATTCAATCCAAACTCCCACCAGGCACAAAGCAAAATCAGAAAACAGAGTATTTTACAAAACAGTTTGTAAGAGTGAAACAGAAACGGGGACAGCAAGTAATTGTCCACACGCAGCTTGCAGCTGAGATTATCTATTGTCAAGGTGCCATTAAAGCTGGAGTATGAGTCACTGTAAATGCGCGCAGCGTGCCAGCATGTGAACACAGAAAATGTTCACTGGTTCAGCTCCAGAAGGATAATTTATACTGAGATTTCTGAGAGCTCTTTAGCTCCATTTAGCATCCCTGTGTTGGGACTGACAGCTTGTGAAGCAATTGCACTCTTGGGATGCCATACTGGGATGAAACAGAAAATTGGAATTTTGGCTCTATTGGCTCTATTGGCTATTGGCTGGCAGAGCTTAGGGTTATTTGCTGGGAAAAATAGAAAAAAAAGAAAAGAAAAATGAAAAAGAAAAAAGAAGAAGAAGAAGAAGAAAAATAGCCAGCACAGAATGAATGTAACAGTCTTACTCTTCATTATCTTGTGCAGAAAGCTTGACCTTGTCTTAATTTGTCAGTGACACTGTAGTCATCTGCCCTTGTTAGCAATGACTTTTCAGTGAGTTTTAATTCTGAGGCTGCTTCAGCTCTGGCTGTGGCTGTGCTGGTGAGAGGGTCCCAGTGTGGATTTGTCAGTTGAAAGAGGAGATTTTCTGATCAACTGTGCTGAGAAAGGGAGAGAGGAGAGACGGACCAGCTCAAGGACCATAGCAGGAGCAGGCAGGTTTCAGGTCTGCAGCAGTGCTCATGACTGGGGGGAGAAAGGAGGTATTGAGAAATTTGAGTGCCCATGGTACCACACGTACCACATCAACACGCATACATTAAGAAGTATGTGTTGCTCTTTCTATAAATGAGCAGTTAAACAAACCTGTTGCTATCCCTCCTGCTTCCCATGATCAATGCTAGTATTCATACCATATCTGATCTATTCCTTTTAGCTCTCTTCTGTATCAAAGAGGCTAGCAAACACTCCATGGTTTGGGGGAGATGAGTTTTAAGACTTCTATCCTCCTTTTGCAGTATTTATCTTATGAAAAGCCTGGTTAGTTTCATGGCAACTCCTCGGATTAATGTTCTGAAGCCGTTCAGTACCTCTCTCCTATGCTGATAATCTTGATTAATTTAACACAAACATATCAGTGGATGTGGAATCACAGCTTCAGAGCATCACCTGACAACACGGTCTCAGCAGACCCAATCACAGCTCTTCAGTTTTCTATTTTGTATGCATTCACAAAGGAAATGTGTGATTATTGTCTTAGTAACAGAATTCAATAAATGCTTGAGGTGGAGGGAATAGTAATAAATCAGACAGATACTATAGGACTCCATGGCCTGTATATGAAATAATATTGAAAATGTAATTAGCTTGATATGCAAGATCGCCTTGGTGAACATTTACTGCAGCTTAAAGAAAAACGAATAAATATTTCCATACTCATACTGACTAGCATCTGATAGCAAATGCTAACTTGCAATAGCAAGGGTGGCAAAATCTGTCCACTGTGCATATTTCTATTTCTCTTCACTGTGTCACCTGTTAAAAGTACCCCTGTGCAGTATGAAGAGTTGCATTTGGAGTTCTGGAGAACATCACAGCAGCTCTTGATGGAAAAAAAAAAAAAAGAAGAAATTTAGTCACCTCCTATTTCCCCTAGACATTAGTACTAAAAATGAGAAGACAACATGGTGTTGGTGACTGCTGGGAAAGGAGATTGTAGCTCATTGTTGATGAGATCCTGTGGCTGTACAGAGAAACTTTGAATTGCCAGATGCACATTGTGCTTCACATTTCATTTTACACATCACCTTTTGATGGTGCTTTTGCAGGAAAACAAGAGATCACAGAAAATTAAAGCAAGGCCTTCTCCTGAGAGAGGCATTATGCCAAGGTCACTTGTGGTTATTGCGGTCCCCAGGTATCATTCTGCTGCCATGATTAATTTACAGTGACACCAGCAGGGGCTAAATGAAGTTTGCCAACTCACAGATAATCATAGGGTAACAGAGTGATCCATTATAGTGTTCTGGAAGGCTGCACTTGGCATGTTGCTGATCCTCTGTGAAGAGGGGTTTTAATGAGGTCACATCAGGTAGAAATCAGGTACTGTGGAAATGGGAACACATTAAACTCTTATTTTGGAAAATAATTAAAAAAAAAATAGCTTCCTCTGATAAAGTGCCTTTGAGAGACGCCAAGCAGAGCTTCCCATCATGTCCATATTCATAACATAAACTTGAACGTAATTTTATGTTTAAATAATGAATATCTTCTGCCAGCTGTGCAGAGGCGAGTTTTTTTAAAAGACACTTAGAATCTGAAATCATCACTACAGCCAGACTTTGAAAATGTAGTGTTTTCCTATCTGCAAATAAATCTTTAGGAACAGCTGATAATTTCTTCAAAAATAATTGTTTCCTAGAAATTAAGGAATATTCCCAGGAATTAAGGAATTTGGGGTTTAGGAGGATTTACACCAAATCCCAGGTACTATCCCTTGAATAAACAAAGTGTCTGTTACTGAAGTCAGAATGGTAACCAAATCTGCAACTGTTAAGATGCATGGGAGAAGAGCGTCAAATGGCTTTGACTACCTCAACCAACTGCTTTCAACCAACCCACATGAGAGATGGTGCTCAAGTCAACAATAAGTAGATAAGACAAAGTAATTGCGAACAGAAAAGACACAGAAAGCTGGGGAAAAAAAGAGGAGAAAGGAACACTACTGTTTTCAGTGCTGAATTCAAAATTACAGGTTATTTCACCAAAATGAGCACAGGACTGCATCTCAGCTGGCTTGAAATTTTCTCTTCTTGCTGCACGTGGGTGAGCACCTACTTCCAGCCTGGTGGATTCAGATGGGATGAAGCATTCACCTGTACAGTGCCTGTACTGGGAATGCCACTCCTTGCTCAACAGCAAAACTTGCAGTGAGAGTGAGGTGAAAGTGCTTTACTCAGATAGACAAAGATAACTAGTAAGCACCACAGCTGTAACTGTGAATAAACCACTTCTCCTGAGTGCGAAAACTGCCTATTAGCTGAAGGCCCAAATTTATTTTTTGTGGACTCTTCCTTCAAACAAAAACTGGCAGATGAATCATTATCTCCCTCTCCTTTTGACTCCTCAAGCTTTGCTCCAACATGGAGAAGAAATTATTGAAAGAACACTGAAAACACCCTTTGAGTGCCTTCTGAGCAAGCAGAATCGGATGAGGATATCCAGTTAGCCACACAACCAATTTTCCACCACACTTATCTTTCCAGACCAGATGTGACTGCCTAACCCTATCCTTCTCAGGATAATCCTGTGCTGCATTTTGTTCTATATTCCCAATGGCTTGGGGCACCTGGAAAAAAAAATGCCAGTACTGGCACAGTACTGCAGGTGTCTTTCAACAAACAGGGCAACCCTCCTTTCCTGTTATTATTGTTTTGGTTTGGGTGTTTTTGATAGCTAGGACTTTTATATATTGCCTGAAAGATTCATCAGTCATTTCTAGACTTTAAAAAGAGGAAGTAAATACTCTAAAACATTAAATGGATGTTAAAAAGAAAGGGACAGAGAGAAAGAGAAAGTGGTTTTAAATAGGTTTTGTGGTGCTCAGGTATGGTATGCCAGAAGGCATTTTCGTTGTGTCTGCTGAGACAAGCAAGAACAGCAGAAAGGCTAAGAGGAATAGAAAGCATTAATATTTTAGAAAACAATGTAGATTACACTAAACTCCTGACATAGCTGAGCAAGGAGCAAACAGCAGAAAACAAACAGCGTTATTCAAATTCTCTGCAGGCCAAGGGCTAAGAAAGCTGATTCTTTCTGTTTTCTAGGAGAATGCGAAGAGCAGATTTGGCTTCAGGTTGGCTTTCTTTTTTTTACATTTGGGCATATAGTTCTTGTAACGGCCAGGCATACAAGGAGATCATTAACAAGAGCGGAAGCAGCAATGAAGCTTAGAATTCACAGGGGTGTCTCCGCTTACAGAACTGCAGCAAAAGCAGCTGTGCGCAACAACTTTGCCCAGCCAGCAACAAATCTTCTGTCAAGACGCAGTCCCAAGACAAGTCTTCCAATTCTGTGTGACTTAACCCTACCCCGCACACATCAAAATGCTATTGTCAAAATGTGTGCTGCGCTGCTTCTCGGAGACTGTCACTCAAAAAACACCTTTGGGCTGCGTGTTTCCATATCCATACCAGTCCTTAAGAAAAGGGAAAACAATTCAAAGATATGCACATTCAATATAGGCTTTTCTACTTTTTTTTTTCCCCTTGAGGAAGCAGGTCAGCTAGTTCAGTAATGACAGCAGAACTCAGTTCCACGTTCAGACATACAAATTCATACATTTAAATGTAGATGCCTGTGGGTGAGCTTGCAGACAATAAGAAGTTAATTGTGTTGCCCAAGCTAGAGCAGTGTGTAAGACAGGTTTGACACAGGAGACCACCTCCCAGAGGCAGGGCAATACCTGCTAGAGCATTTGAAAAAGTCACCATTGTTAAGGTGCCTGAACAGAGCCCCAGCATCTAGTCAGTATGGTCAGTGAAGCAGGTTCCAGCTGCCTAAACTCAGCTACTGTCATGTGAGATGCTGTCATGAAAACCTGTCATGAAGCTGGCAAATACAATGCTGGACCTACACTGTGTTCAAACTTTACTGGAGTGACAACAGGATACCAAGCAGTGTACCTCTTTTAGGTAAAGTAGAATTCAACACTCAATTCACTTGACTAGAGAAATATTATTTTTGGTGCCCTAGACATCCAAGACCTCCCCTTCAAGGCTGTATAAATGATGTAGGATCTATGGGAAACTCTCGTCTTTCAGAGATGGTAATTGGAGAGGTGGAGAAATAACCAAGAGCGTCTCGAATTGTACCAGATGTCTATGTCTGCACAACTAAATCCCAGTAGATGAAATCTAATGAACTAGTCATCTAGCCAAAGACGTATGGGATCCCAACACCTGTCCCCACACCACTGATAAATATGCCTCTGTTTGGTATTGACTAGATCTCGTGTTAACCAGATTGGATGAAACTGGGACTCCACTCATAAACACACAGCTGCATTTACACATACAAGTTTTGATATCTACATAAACCTAAAGACTAGTCTTCAACCTAAATCTCCAGTTTTTTTTCTCTTACACCCTTAATGCCTAAATGCTCATTTGCCCGGAAATTAAAGTATCCACCTAACTTCTAAGTGATCACACAGTAACACATTTCTTGTGACACACACCCAGGATGTCTAACTTACCCACCAAGGTGAGATGCACTGAGAACAGGAGAGGTGAACCATTCTCTCTGTCACCTGAAGAACACATCAAAGGTATAGCTTTACTGGCCAGCTCCCATCCTTTCCCTACCATGTAAAACACTCAAAATCAAGGTGCATCCCTGCCTAAATACATTGTCCATATTACTCATGCTGGATTATACTGTTCCATAACATAAAAACATCTCTTAGCTATACTAACATGGTTTTAAAATGCCTGAAATTTGGTGAATTTACCTCAGGCTTGATGAACTGATCTGCATGATGCTCTCTGTAGAACTGTGTTAACACCCACGTCCCCTAAAAACAAACTTAGATAATAAAGCCTAGATTTAGATGCCTTATTTTATAATTCAATGTAAGCCTAGCTTATGTGGAAACTAAGCTTTCCATCACTTCTTATATTTTCCCTATTTAAAAGAAAGTTTTGTCTTACGGATCTATCGTAATGAAGCTGTTGATTTTGTGTCCCTAGCATCTCATATAAAACCATGATATGCATTTTCAAATAAGTTGTAAAATGTCTTTTTATGTAAATTTATTGAGTTTTTCCTATGAAAGAAATTGCAGCTCCTCCATGTTGGAAACATTCTAGGGATCTTCAGATCCTGAGCTGGGTACCGGCAAAGGGATGACAGATTGAATTTCTTTCTACAACCTAATGGCTGGTACATTTAAATTTAGACGACATCAATTAAATTTAGAATGACATCAGAACCACACTAATCACAGTGCAGAATATAAACCTAAGTAAAAAGCACTCTCTAAAACTAGCTCATATTCTTTCCAAATAAAAAGCTTACTTAAGAAGTCAGTACATTCTTATTTTATTTTTTACAGCAAGATGAGGAAATCAAACATAAATTAGTTAAAGAAAGCCTATGAACTGCAGTTGAGAGTTAGCCATAACTTCTCATGGACTTTATGCAATAGAGAGCAGATAGACCATACTATTAAACAAAGAAAGCCATCCACAAAAATGACCAATGATTTCAAATCACTTTAGCTAGCAGTTATGACAGTTGCCTTTGACAAGATACTGGGCATCTTCTCCAAGCCAGCAGGGCAATTTTTATATTCTTACTTTTTTAATCAACTGCACCTTGAAGTCACTGATTTACTTCTAGGCTGAGCAATTTATCTACAACAGCCATTTCATTTGTAGAGATGTGTGACTGATGGAGATGCTGTTTCTCTGCAGCCCAGAGCTTCCCTGAACGCCAAGGTCTCCGTCCTGCTGCCTTTGGGTATCTCTGCAGAATTCTTTCCAATTTCTATCTTTGGTGATTCATAACACTGCGGTCTGCATTCTTCTACACTAGAGGAAGTGGCTCTGTATTCTCACTGTACTTAAGTCTGTACCCCAGGAGTCTGGATGGGATCCCTGCAGCATTGTTTTTTCTTGTTATGGTACTACTGAAACATCAGGAAATGCATTTCAAGGTTAGGCATTTTTGGCAGTCATGTTTTGTTCTTCTGTGTTCACACTCCCCTCAAGATTACTCTCTTGTAAGCTTTCAAAGGCCACTGGTGACAGATGAGTCTCATCTTGCGATGCGAGTACCTATTACGGTGAGACTAAACCCTTCCCTGGCTCAGCAAAGCAGTCATCATTTTGTGAATCACCAGAAGAAATACAAAAGTGATTTTCCCTTAAGCACAACTTCAGCAGGGAAAGTCCTTTCTTTTTTCTTACTTTCAGATACGCTTTTAAGGAATACATTTATTTTCCAAAGCCGGAACAACAAAACACAGATACCAGAGCCAAATTTGAATATGGATACAGAGAACTGGGTTGGCATCAGTGTGATGAAGTAAAATACTTTTAAAACTACATTTGGTACCAGACATCATGAAATTTTGCCATTAGTAGGCTAGACTGTGTTATATACCCACAGGACATCTCCCACAGACATCGGTAGACTAGCCTGTTTTGTTAGCTAATTACAAAGTGGATCATAACCTGACAATGAACAATCTACCCCAAATCCCTTGCAACCTAAATATGAGGCAAAGAATACTCAAAAAAAAGACAGAGAAGAGAGAACAGGGAAGCGGCAATACAGTATTTTCTCAGGATACCACACCAGCACAGAGAATAATGCCAGTCCTTTTTCAGCCCAGCTGTCGTAAAATGCACAGATAATTTTTAACAGGGAATCAAAGCAGGAAATAAGCTAGCTTTGCAGATGCCTATAAGGAGAGTTTCCTAAGTGCAGAGAGCAGCAGGAGACAAAGTGTGCATATTTAACAAAAGAAGATGAAGACTTTTACTGTAGGAGTAATGGGCTGATTTTTGTGGGAGAGAGAGATCTGCAAAAGCGCACTTGGTGCCTGTGAGCAGCATTAGACTGCATTAGCCAAGGTCATAGAAGGGAATGCTGCAGTAATCAAGGAACGACAAGCTAGGAGCCTGAATAAAATTTCAGATGTGTTGATGGATAGCAAATGCCATGCCTTAAATATGTTATGCACAAAGTGTGTGGGATAAGAAAGCACAGCCTGTTTATAAAGAATACGGACCAAATGAAAGAGAATATTGGAGACTGGTAAGTTCACGCCACCATTTGTGGGTCTGGATGTCAGATAGGCTGGATATGATGTTCACTATAGTCAAAAAAGGGATGCAAGGATGGACTGGTGAAGAAAATGAATTAGGTGCTTCAGTTAAATGAGGAAGGCAATAAAGCCTCAAGATTGGCTTCTGAACTGTCCCAGAAAAAGGAATTCAGAATTTTATGCACTAAGAAATAAAAGCAGAAGAATGCATTGTTGAATACTTAACTTAGTGTACTACTGTTCATGTCAGTACAGCAGTGCGTTGACTTACTGCTGGCTGGTGAATCTCTTCTATGGATTACAGTCAGTGCACGTGCTGGGGAGTATGTGAATAGTTATGAGTTTGGATAGCTTAAATCCTCTCTGCTTTCCACGCAGCCAGGATACTAAAAAGAGCCTTTAGAGTCTGTAAAATTAAAAACATATTTTTAACATGGTTTCACTGGAGCCATTTAAGAACTGCGTAATCATTGTCAGTGTCAAATTGCTTAGCACAGTGTTTACTGTACAGTCCTTATTTTGACAAGTACTGCATTTAAACTAATTATGCATCTTGTTTTATAGATACTTGCCTGAGATTATGAATGATGGCTTGACCAACCAGATCAACAATCCAGAAGTAGATGTGGACATCACAAGGCCAGACACCTTCATTCGGCAACAAATCATGGCCTTACGTGTCATGACAAATAAACTGAAGAATGCATATAATGGAAATGATGTCAACTTCCAGGACACTAGTAAGAAACCATTAGCTCTCCTTAAATAAATGTAATTTTCAAATGTATTCATAAATCAGTTCCATTTGAACAGTTTTTCCTTGGAGTTTGTGCTTTCTGCTGATGACAACATACAAAAAATCTTCTGTCCCATTTGTTTCTTTTTCTTTTCTTGCTTATCATCATTTCAAATGCATCAAGACACTGAGGGCTTTCCATTACGCCAGCAGTCTGCTCCTTTTTCAAAAGGGCATTTCAGCACATTAAGTGCCTAATTAGGTGCATCCATCATGGTAGCTTTCATTTGGATGCTTTGCTGAATGAAATTTACCATCCACACACTACACCAAGGTGTTCATCCCCACCAGGGCACTGGGTGGGACAGGAATGGAGAAAGGACAACCATTTCAACCCAAGGCACTCACCCTGTTTTCCTCACTCCCTTGTACCAGGTGATGAGACAAGTGGCTCTGGCAGTGGAAGCGGCTGTACAGACGACATCTGTCCCACTGAGTTTGATTTCATCATGACTGAAGCACCGCCTGTTGACTCAGACAGGAGGGAGGTGGAGGCTTCGGCCATACGACCCAGCCAGTCACTGCAGACATTGCTCTTCGCCTTCATCAGCCTCGTACTGCAGAGACAATGGAGATAATCTTGAAACTGATCGGAAAAACTGTGTTTTAGCTACAGAAACAGTCAACTTCCTTCTTTTCTTACACTCTTGGACAATGGACCATGCCACAAACACTTGCAGTTTTGTATGCGAAGAGAGCAGTACTGCAACCTGCTTCCCTTTTTGTTTTCCCAAAGAGCACCAGGTGCCAGACTGAACTGCTTCCTGTTTTTTGCAGATATCTCTGAAGAGAATATTCACTCTTGAGAGAATTCTTTCTCAGATCTTTATTACAGGAGACTTTCTAAGCTTCATTTCCTTTTATGCTGCAGAAGTAAAAAGATCTTACCGTGAATGTTTTTTTTTCCCTAATGAAAAAAAAAAGGGAGGGGTGGGGGGAAGAAACCAATGAAGCAGTTTTCTTTCTGAGTTGAGTCTAACTCTAGCTGCTCCCTGTAAGTCTGAAAAATCAACAGAACAAAAGACAAGAATGAAAAAAATGCAACCATTCTTCACTGACAGCCAGATTTCCTTTAGGGACTTCTGTAGAATAATTCAGGTCATCAGAATGATCATTGCTATAAAGAGGCAGTCTGGATTTTTTTCCAACACAAGAGTTTGTCTCAACGATGAATGTCTTGCAATCCACCTGCCAACCACTTCAGATTGGTATGAAGGTAGAGAAGCTGAAAAGCAAGTTCTTCTTTTAGTATGATAGTAACTCCGCTATCTTCAGAATATCATGTTACAGTTCCCTAGGATTTAAATCCTAATGCCCAGTAAAAAAAGAAAAAGAGTAGTAGCATGATTTTGCCTAGCTGCTTTTAGTGTTTATTCATGTTATGCAATTGGCACGAAGATTTCCACTTAGCTCACCATCAGCCACGGTGGTAATGCTAAACAACTCTCCTGACAAATCTCCCCTCAAGGGTTTGGGCAGAAAATAGTCTCTTGTGATAAAATCTCGTTCCTTTCATCACTGTTCTGACATCAATTAGGGCTTTCTGCTACTATGTTTATTATCCTACCAAGATGGTAGTTCTCTAATTGACTAACAATGGCGACCAGATCAATAGAGCATTTCACATCTAACTACATCTTTCATATCACTTAATTTCAGTATCACAGGGATTTCTTCTACAAATTTCTGAACAAACAAATATATAGTACTGACATGGAGATTTCTTTCACTTTTTTAGTCTTAGTATGATCATCTATTTTTATATATATAAATATATATAAATCGCAGATTTTAACTTCTTAATTACAAGCTCAGGGTTGACACTTCTTTGTGAAAAAAAAATATGTTTGGTCAACCAGCTCTTCTGCTTTTGTGCTACTCTGAAAAGCAACCCTTTAATGACTGGTCAGCACGAAAATCAAAGAAGAGAATTTTTTACATATCCAGTTGTCCATTTCTTAACAGATTTGCAGAGTGGGGGAGAAAATCTCTCTCGTCTCTGTGTAATTGTGTGAGCATGGAAGTTTGTGTGATAGGCCTAGAGAAAGACAGAGATGTTATTTGTGATGGCAAATGTACTCTCAGATTCCTCAAGGATACATTGCTTTAACAATCATTGCCTGAATGGCTGTTGTTCTGGCTGGAGTTTCCTTGATTTTTATCTGATTGCAAGACCTGAAATGGAAGCTATTTAAATCCTGGACAAATGAGAGTAAACAGTTAGACATCAAAGATTTCCCTCCTCCATCAGCTGCAGAAAAAGAGCTTCTGTGACAATTCCATGTGGTGCTGAAAAGATTTTGCAGAAGCTTTTTTTCTGATTCTTTTGGTGACTCTAGAAATGGTATAGATAAATTATGGAAATACTGTAAAGCCAGCCAACCACATTACAATTTAACAACAGAGCAGGTAGATCATAACCATTGCAATCTCTTTTTCTTGTCAAATTATAATTAGATATCGATTTAGGCATGACATTAAAGTAGAAAACACATAGCACATGAGGATAAAGGATGCTTAAGCACTTTTACCAAAAAATATTTACAAACTAACTGTATAGTATGTCTAATAAAAATGCATAGGTTTGAGCCACTCATAATCTATTCTTATTTTTTCTAATTTGTTTGCTTTACAGTATAATGATCTATTCTTCTTGGCCCAGTTTAGTGTGCAGGAGTAACTGGAATATGTTCAGACCAAGCATGTTTTACACCTGACTTAGCAGTGTTGCTTGCCACTCTGATAGCTCACTCTAGAGAGGATCTCATGATTCAGCACTCAATGTTTTCAGAAAGTTAAACAGTATTAAAACCAATTCTTACAAGCATTTGTTTTGTTTTGTTTTGTTTGTTGACTGTTGTATAGCAGAGGATCCAAGCAGAGAATCTTCCTTTTCGTTTTTCCTGAACTTGCATATCATCTACAAAGAGGGAGCTCTTTGGTCCCTCCGTATCTACCAATGTACACATCCTTTTCATGCCTTTAATCCGCTACAACCTTGTTTTATTGTCCCACTGTGTTCTTATTCAGTAGAAACTGATACTATTTCCATCTGTTTATCCTTATTCTTGAAGTTTATCCACAGATAATGAAATCCAGCTGCTAAGGCATTTCCTCCACTGTGGCTTCTCCACATTGTGATGTGGAGATTAACATTAAGATGCTGATGGATTCCTAGGGTCTTTGTGTGAACTTTGGCCTAGGTTTAGGCAACCTGATGACCAAACTGGCTATCCATTGTGCTTCCACCTATTTGTAGACCTCGGATCATGTGAAGGAGTAAAAGGAATCACCAAGAACAAGGGGCTTTGCTGAAGTCTGCTCTCAGTGGGGGAGGAAGTAAATATTCTAGCAATCAGTTTGTAGGAAACGCCCTGCTCTACTTGCACTGTATCTTACAAACTGCTGATGAAACAACAGGCCCAGTTAATCTCTGCTGAAATGTGATTTTCTTGTGGGAGTTCTGTCAGAAATGTACGTCTTCCTTATTATTTCTCTGCTTATTTTCCTACTATGCATGGTGATATCTTGTCAGGAGATGGAGATCCCTTTGCATGAGGTATTAGGCATACATTTCTTTAATAGTCCCAGAAGGCTGAATTCTCTCTTTATGCACTGCATTTTCCTGAGATTAAGAGAGCTATTAAATCTACAGAGCAAATGAAATTGGGAAGAAAGGAAAGAAAAGAAAAAACGGTAATGTTCATAAATGTGAGAATCTACATAATTTCCAATGCTTCTGTTTGCACCTCCTTTACATCCAATAACTCTTCTTTCAAGGTAATTTTTTCAGTGTGCTGCAATTCAAATATTTCTCTTCTGCCAACAGCTGATAAAGTAAGGAATAATAAAGAAGACAATCACCAGCATAAGAAAGAGGATTCTAGTTCTAAGGGAAAATACTTTAACTGCATAACCCCTTTATGTGGTGCAACCCAGTTATTGCCATTTTATGCTCTTTTAAGGTGGAGGCTCTTAAAAAATTAGATGCAACAAATCATATAACCAGTGCTAGAGATCTTTGTATTAATATTAATTAAAGCCATTTTGCATTGTCCCCAAAGTTTTAGTGTCTAGTATACAGCAGATTTTTCTATTCATGCCTCAGTACACACTTCTGTAACTGCAGTGCAGACTGTTTGGGGTCTGGCTGTATCTCAAGCATTTCAGAAATGCAGTTGGAAAGGGAGGGTAGAAATTTCCTACAGAACAGTAATAACAGTAATAACCTGTGCCTAAGGGTTCTGGTAAGGGCTGATCTATCCCAGTTCCCTAAAAGCATCAGAGAGCTCTGTCCAGAGAAAGCTCCCAAAATCTCAGTGTCATTCATACAAAATCGTCCCAATTCTGTGTGATTTTAGGAAGCATTGTTACAGCTGTGCCTTCCCACAGCTGTGTGAACCAGTTTGAGCTGCTTCCATGTAAGATGGCTACGAGCTAGAGCTGCTGCTGGGAGATGGGCTGCGTGAAGTGTCTCAACGGGCAGCAGTTGCCTTCAGTTTACTAACGGACCCTGAATCATTACCAAATGTATCTATACTTATTCACCAAGACTTTTTTTATTACTTCAACGTGACAAAATAAATTACAGCACTGATGCGAGTTGTGGTTTCTGTTTTTAATTCACTTCCTAAGATAAGCCATCAAAAATGAATGCAGAAAATTATTCTGATGTGAAAATCAGGTTTCTGCAGGTTTCATTATGGAAGCAAACATCTGGATATACTTCCGATACTAAGAATAAACTCACATTTCTAAAACTGCTAGTATTTATTCATGAAGCCACAGGTTTTCAAACTTGCTCTCTGAGAATTAAGAGAGTTAACATCGTGTAGCATTGCAAAACCCCTATTTTCGAAGGGAAGTTGAAAGGCTGAGTCACAGTTATGGATTTAAGAGTATGATGTCAAAATGCGATAGAAATGTAATGTATACTTTCAAGAAAATTAGGGCAGGTGATGCAGCAAATAAGGCAGTGTTTCCCTTCCAGCTACTCACACTGGCTGTGATGACTGTATTAATGTGACATTATGACTCTTTTGAAAAATGGTGATAAAGACCCTTAGCGCTGCAGTAATATGGTGTGTGAAAGAAAAACAGTATGACTGTAACTCTTTTCTCATCCATTAGAAAGCACAGGAGACCTAATGGAGAACAAAGAACTTTTATATTGACTTTAAAAATAAACTTCTAGTATCAGGCAAATGAGATGATCTCAAATTTATTATGTCAGAATATTTTCCAGTCCACTATATTCAAATTTGTTGAACAATGTAAGTAAGCAGTCACTTACAGGCTATTTGCCAACATAACTTGAACATGAAGCATTTGTTACCAGTACTTACTACTTCTCTACTGAAATGACTACATAGTTTACAATTCTGATTGTGTATCCCATGTGACTGTCTAGAAAACTGTGTATTGTTTGAGTGAAATCACATCTCTGCTAAGGAAAATGAGAGCTTTGTCATTGATTTCAGAAAAATATTTTCACTTTAATCAGGCTGAGAAAATAAGTCCTTATTATGGAAGTTACTCATATTTAATGTCCTTCTGACTTTCAGTAAGACAACAACATTATCCACATAAAGTCAACATTATTGTCTTCACCTTGTGTGTCCAAGTTTTACTTCAAAGCAGTTGCAGTTCATGCCCATCTTCCTCAGAGCTGAGATCTCTATACTGCCGAGAAAGTGAAGAAAGTCACATGGATTTGTCCATAGCTTGAAGTCTACATCATTAAATCAAACCAGTTAAAAAAAAAAAAAAAAAAAAAAAAAAAAAAGGTCAGTGTTCCAAACAGCTCTCATTTCAACTCACTTTTAATTCTATAGCATTGATACTTAACAGTGCAACATGGATGAAAGGCTCTTGTTTCATGG